TGAGCCGGTGTGGCCGCAACCCAACCCGCGCCAGTGGAGGGTGGAAGAGCCAGGGTTGCCTATAGGGTTGTCAGGTGTCCAGTACTGACCTGGACAGTCTGGTATTTTCGCCTCCTGTCCGGTAAACAAATTCAGAAAATACTGGACACCTAAGATGTCTGGTATTTTCTTTTTTTTTCCTGGCCAGAAGGCGAAAATACCCGGTGCTTACCTGGTTCTGCAGGGGAGCTCTCTGGCCCAGAGCAGGAAGATAAGATGCCTATAGGGTTGTCAGGTGTCCAGTACTGACCTGGACAGTCTGGTATTTTCGCCTCCTGTCCGGTAAACAAATTCAGAAAATACTGGACACCTAAGATGTCTGGTATTTTCTTTTTTTTTCCTGGCCAGAAGGCGAAAATACCCGGTGCTTACCTGGTTCTGCAGGGGAGCTCTCTGGCCCAGAGCAGGAAGATAAGATGGCGGACGGCCAAAAAGACTCAAAGGCATTTTTTAAAGGGGACATGCTGTTTTGTGGGGGGTTTCTTGGGCTTAACTCTTGGGGTCCTGTTTTTTTTTGTTCAACAACTTTGGTCTCCCCCCTCCCCCAACAGAATTATTTCCCTGTTGGGGTTTTTTGTTTTGGGGGTTTTGGGGGGGGGGGAAGGGCAGGGTGTTTGGTATTTTTGGTTAAACCATCTGGCAACCCTAGTTGCCTCCCCCTGTGAGAGCATAGCAAGCAGGGGGCACCACCCCCCTTGCGCTTAATTAATGACAATACTAACCTCAGATGCTCGTACCAGGTCAACAGAGGTTCGGTTCCATGAATCCTCCTGGCTCTTCCTGCGGGTCAGCTCAGCTTGCAAGTTCTTTGCTGCAGCTTCAACAAGCCTGTTTCACAGAAGTGTATGGAGACAATGGGTGAAGAAAGAAACAGAGTCTGCAAAATGTCACCATACCAACAATACTAACTACAGCAAATTCACAGAAATTGGCTTATGTCTTGCTGATGCATTAGGCACTGAAGAGCTCAATTCTCACTGACACCTTGACAACCAATATTTACCATTGTCATGTAATTAGGATAGGTTTTGTACAAAGTAGGTATTGTAAGATATCATTCCAAAAGCCTTGATCTTCTAAACATTAATATCTCATTGGATTGTGTGTGTTATTGCATGTGAAATTTTGAAGTTTGGCCATGTGCGTGTTACAAAACATGTTGTGAAGTTCAAAACACCCACAGGCAGAAACATCTCAGAGAGAACATTTCACTACAAGAACTGTTTGACCCAGGTCATAGCAAATGAGCTTTCCAGCAAGTGGGAAGTAGATATAAAAAGGGCACAATGACATCATGGGGACCTCACTCGCCCAAACACCACTATACCTGGAAACATCTGAGGAACAAAGACTGAAATGAGTCAAGTGATGGCCACAGGCTAGAAAGAGTTTTAGCCTGTGTAAGAAAAACTGGGAAACTTGTACCTTAAGAATCTGCCAGACTTATCACTCAGAGTGAGAATCTGCTAATTTGTATCTTACCTATATTAGGGTGTCTAAGCTACATGGCTCCGTCGATGGAGCCATGTAGATTAGACTGATCGGCAGAGGGTAATGAAGCCACGATTTAAATAATCGCGGCTTCATTTAAATTTAAATGGCTGCTGCGCTCTGCTGATGATCAGCTGTTTGTCGGCAGATCGGGGCAGTCTGGACGTGCTGCTGTTGACAAGGAAGCCTTTGTCAACTGGTGCAGGTAAACCTTGTTTCACGCGCCTGGCCGTGCAGGGCCCCGCAGCCATGGGGGGGGGGGGGGGGGGGGGGGCGCGTGTTGCCTGATGGCAGCTATAAAGGACACCGCGCGCCCCTTACAGCTGCCATCAGGCGCCCCCCATTGGTTGGCGCCCAGGGCAGCTGCCCAGCTTGCCCACCCCTTAGTCGAGCCCTGGTTAGAGATAATGAGGTTAATTCAGTCAGGTCCACTTCTAGCAGCTGATCTGGAGGTGTGCACACGCATGCATCTGTGAGTCTATTTGTTCAAGAACTCCTCCTAAACATGTTCAAAAGCTTCAGTGGGGTAGTCGAGTTAGTCTGAAACAGGAAAAACTTAAAAAACAACAAATAGTCTAGTAGCACCTTAAAGACTAACAAAACATGTAGATGGTGGTATGAGCTTTTATGGGCACAACCCACTTCTTTGCCTGTCATCTGAAGAAGTGAGTTGTGCCCACAAAAGCTCATGATACCATCTACATGTTTTGTTAGTCTTTAAGGTGCTACTAGACTATTTGTTGTTTTTTAAGTTTTTCCTGTTTCAGACTAACTCGACTACCCCACTGAAGCTTTTGAACATGTTTAGGAGGAGTTCTTGAACAAATAGACTCACAGATGCATGCGTGTGCACACCTCCAGATCAGCTGCTAGAAGTGGACCTGACTGAATTAACCTCATTATCTCTAACCAGGGCTCGACTAAGGGGTGGGCAAGCTGGGCAGCTGCCCTGGGCGCCAACCAATGGGGGGCGCCTGATGGCAGCTGTAAGGGGCGCGCGGTGTCCTTTTTTTGGAAAGTGATCAAGGGCTGCACTCTTCCATGATATTAATGGAGGAGGCGCAGGGTCTGATATGGAAGTTGGGTGCAGGAGGGAGAGTGGGGTCTGGGAGGGAGTTTGGGTAAAGGAGGTTGCTGTGACCTAGGGCTGAGGTGCAGGGGTTTAGGTTGTAACCTAGGACAGGAAGGGATTGTGACTTGGGGTGCAGAGATTTGGGTTGTGACCTAGGGCAGAGGACTGGGGTGCAGAGGTTTGGGATATGACCTAGGGCAGGAGGGGTTGTGATCTGAGGCAGGAGATTGGGGTACTGGAAGGTGCAGGGGTTTAGGTTGTGACCTAAGGCAGGAGGGGGTTGTGACCTGGGGCAGGAGATTGGGGTGCAGGGTCTGGGAGGATTCAGGAGGGGGACAAAGAGTTTGGCTTATGTGGGGTAGGGAGGCAGAGTGGGCAGGGGCAGAGAAGGACTGGGGTGCCAGATGCAGGATCTGAGTGAGAAACTTGCCTGGATGACTTCCAGTCAACAGCCCAGCAGGGTTCTCAGGTAGCTTCCCTGCCCTCCCCCTCAGGCTGCAGGGAGCATGTGCATTGGTGAATAAGAGCCTGAGGCGAGGGAGGGCAGGGTGCTTCCTATGTTGCCTGTTCTTCAAACAGACTGCTCCCATTGGCCAGGAATTGACCAATGGGATTGTGCAGGGAGCAGGAGCCGCCTGTGAAGCACCACTCCTCCCCTTCCTGGGCTTACAGCTGAGAAAGAGAAACGGATGTGGCAACTACTTTTTTGAGTGGTGTGGGGAGGAAGTCGCAAGGCAAGTAGGGCATCTGCCCAAGGCTCCCTGCTGCATTCGTGGGCTGGATCTGGTGGTTTGGCAGGTTGGATTTTGCCCAGCCCTGAGTTAGGATCACTAAATTTGCTTCCTCTTATCATAATTCAAAGCAAGATAAAGGTTTGTATGTGCTTGGAATTAGATTGTTTCTCAAAATGGAGAGAAAGGGGTCTGATGGGGGGACAGTTATGTTGTAGAACAGGAGTGGGGAACCTTTTTTGGGTTAGGGGCTGCTGACACACAGAAGAATCAGCTGGGGGCATTACACAAGTGAAAAGCAAAGCGAGAAGCCCCTGACTGAGAAGGAAAAAAGGCACTCCTCACATTCCCCTTGCACACCAGAGCCTAAGGGTATCCAGGCTAGTAGATTTTGTATGCTCCAGTCCTGTGGGTGCGTAGCAGAGGGGCTGGAACACCAGTGTGGGCTCCCCAATGTGGAGCCTCAGGGGCTGGATCCAGGGAAGCTGGGGACCGTGTCTGAATCTTGGTTCCCCACCCCTGCTGTAGAATGACCAAAAAGGACAGCAAGGTGCCAGAGATGAGGACTGGGACAGCAGAGGTGGAGAAAGGGACAGCTATCTACTACAGTGGTCCCCAACGTTTTGGGGCTGCCGGGTGCCTGGGGGCGGGGCCGCTCACACACCGTGCATACGCGGGCAGGGCCGCTCACGGGCCACGTGCTTAGGGGCGGAGCCAAGCATGCGCCGCACACCCGAGGCCAGCACTGGCATGTGCAGTGACCCTAGGCAGGGGCTGCCCAGGCGCTGTGCGCCCTGGGGCTGGCACCAGCATGTGCCGTGCACCCGGGGCCAGGGCCGGCACCAACATGCGCCGCGACCCCGGGGCAGGGGCCGCCCATGTGCCCGGGGCTGGCACCTGCCGCACGCCCAGGGACGGGGCCAGCCCAGATTGCTCCATGGGCGCATATAAATGGCCCGGTGGGCGCCATGGCACCCGCAGGCACCTCGCTGGGGACCACTGATCTACTATATATTGTAGAGAGAGAGAGACAGAGAGTGTGTGTCCCAGCTGTGCCCACAGATGCTTTTCACCTGGCCCCAAACTACTGTGGTAAGAGAGAGCTGAGGTTGTGCTCTCTCTGGGGCAGCCAGCATCTCCAACCCCACCCTAGAACAATGATTGAAATGAAGAAAAACAAAACTTATTTGAGTCAAGGACCCCAGCAACGCCAGGTAAATCTTCTAGTAGTTAAATCAAATGATATCTTGTTTATAATAAAAGCGGTGAGGAGTCCTGTGGCACCTTATAGACTAACCGAAGTGTTGGAGCATACCCTTCTGATACTTGTTTATGATATAACCCAGTTTGTGCAATTCAAAAAACTGGAGGGGCAAGATGCCGTGCATACCTTTTTCTATGTTGAAGGAGAGGGTGAATTTTTATGAGCTCATATTATGCAGATCTTTCTATACAGTGCAAGACAGTATTATTTCAGAACTGTTCCCCAAAAGGGGCATGAACATGAGTGGTGGGTGAGCCCTCTTGCACAGAGATGACTTCAGTCTGTATCTGCACGTGTGGTCCTACTTGTATGTGTGCTACAAGAGGCCAAAAAGCCACATTCAACAAAGCAGAGGGGGAATCCAGGCTGGTAAAACAGGAGCGGCTTAGTGAAAACCCCAATACAACAAGTGGCATTCCAGACTGGGGGAGGGAGGTGTCCTCTCCTCTCATTCCAGCATTTGCTATTCAAGAACCTGCATGTTCACTAGTGCAACTAGGATTGCATGTCTACAGAAGAGTAATACGAACACAGCTTTAAGGAAACAGGATTAAAATAAGCCTCATGCTAATGAAACAAATATTCAAGCAGCTTTATGTCCTCATTTAGTGCCTGTGCTGCTTTTTCCATTCCACAGATATAGGGCTTTATATTAGGATTGACTCTACTTGCAACATGGTCTGCAGTGATCACTATTTTAACCTCTTCAGGAAAATAACTGCAGTTTTAATGTTGGTGTCTGCAAGTCTGAATTTACATCAAAGCCCCATAATCATCTGCAGAGAGCTGAAAAGCTTAGGTTATGGAAAATTTAGATGGTCAATTTTTTGTTGAAACTCTTAAGTATCTGAGGTTGGGTACACTTAGCAGAAAGCATCATTTCTTGAAGACTGAAACATGCTTCACTTGGATAAATGCAATCTGCAGATCATAGGTTGTATAGCGCTGCATTAATAGAACAGCTTAGCTCTATCACATTTCCCATCAACATTCAAATTCTACAGCATTCTATTAATACACAGTTCTGTGCATTCAGCTGTGAACTCACCTTGATGCTCGCAGTTTATATGCCTCCACCAAGCTTGCTGGATCATTTATGAGCACCGCTGTAGGCCTAGCAGCCACCTGCTGTGGCTGGATACGTTGCCCTGAGAGGTCATTAAGGTAGGACACCATGCCACTAACCAGCTGACCTGAGCTAACCTGGGTGTAACTTTTGACCAGGAACCTGAATTAAAAAAAAAAGATTGCACTGCACCATTCATTTAGA